TACAGTTTTGTCTTTCTGCTTCTGTATCATTTTTCCCTCTTCTATGCACAAGAGTTGCTATCGCCATGCATAATGCACAATCAATGTTATCACTGCAATTCCTGGCACTAAGTGATTAATTGCCCTACACAGTGTTCATGTACTTGACTCGTGTTAGTCAATTCAATTTGATTATGCTGCTTTGTTTTGTCTCCGATAAACAAGGCCACTAAATGTTTCTTTTATATTTCTCCCTGTTCTTTTGCACACAAGATGACCACTGCTTTGGTATTGTCTGCCAAATTAATTTCAATTAAATCTTTTTTTTTTTTTTTTTTTTTTAATTTCTCAGTGAAGGAAAAGAATTAAAGACTTTGATACTCAGTGATCTTTACTGTCATCTGCAAGGAGAGCTTGAAGGTCGTAAAACAAGTCCAGGACCGTTTAGAGAACTTTCCCAATATCTAATTGAATCTAAGTTCTGGCAATCTTATGAACATAAGTATGATGGTGACCTACTTGCAACTGCCAAAGACCTGTATATGTTTGATCTTGACTGCATAAGAGTAGATTTGGGTTTGGACATATGGGATTATTCAGAGTGGAAATCCTCTAAAGTAATTGCTGGCACAATGTTGCATTGCATGCAAGACGCAAACTTGATGCTGTTGCTTGCAACTTCAAAGCATTCTGCACTGAGAGCATTAGTAACTGTTTTGACTGTGTACGAAGATAACGTGAGTTCTCAAAAATTCTGAATGTTTCTGATGCAATTTAAGCCTACAACATTGGAGATGAGAACTATTTTGTCTGTGAACTTTTTATTGTATACTTCTTTTTATTCTGCAGCTGCCACCTTTTGCATTCGTCTCATCATAAATGATTAATTTATGTTTGCCTACTGGTGCAGTCACTGGAGAAGGGGACTGAAATTGGTGGGAGGATCCCTGATCAACTAATTTCATGCATTGAGCCCATATGCCAAAGTTTCCGCTCCACCTTAGAACTGTTAGCTCCAACTTTGGATGCCCCTGGAGATATCCTTGATTTCCTTGCAGCACAAGCAGAATTACTTCTTCATCTCGTGAGATCTGTAGGGAAAAGCCTTCCTTCATCTGTTTGTGTTCTTGTTTTGAAAGCCTGCAGTTCTGGCCTTAAAGTGCTGTGTGACTTGAGGAAATCAGTTACTGGGGTAAAAATAACGATGAAGCATTTGCTCATGGTTCTTCTTTCGTCGCTGGAAGTTACTTACCATAATTCATGTTTAGATGCAGTGAAAGATACGGAATCTGTTGAAGATGTTGCTGAGGTTTCCAATGTGACCTTGGGTTTATTACCTATTCTCTGTCATTGCATCACTAGTGCTGAGCACTGTACCCTCTCCCTGACCAATGTGGACTTAATAATTAGAAGTTTTCTAGCCCCTAGCACTTGGTTCCCCATCATACAGCAACATCTACAGTTGCAGCTTGTTATTCAGATGCTTCAGGTCAAGTCATCGTTTGCCTGCATTCCTGTAACATTGAAATTCTTTCTAACATTGGCACAGATTAGAGGAGGTGCTGAGATGCTTCTTAATGCTGGATTTTTCTCATCTCTAAGAGTTTTGTTTGCTGATCTATTGGATAGGCCTGCCTCAGTGGTTAAGCATGATAAGAGTTATCTAGATGTAACAGACAAAGCTGAAAAACTTCAATGGATTTGGGGACTTGGCTTGGCTGTGGTTGCAGCTGTGGTTCATTCTTTAGGAGAGAGTCTTTCTGTAGATATATTGGACAGTGTGATACCTTACTTCTTTCGAGAGAGAGCTTATCTGATTTCTTACTATCTGAATGCACCAGAGTTTCCATCATTTCACGACAAGAAAAGACCTCGTGCACAAAGGACACAAACTTCTCTGACTTCTCTTAAAGAAACAGAGAATACTCTCATGCTGATGTGTGTGCTTGCAAAACAGTGGAGTTCATGGGTTAAGGCCATGAAAGAAATGGATTCACAACTGAGGGAGACAAGTATCCATCTTTTAGCCTTTATTAGCCGAGGAACTCATCGCCTTGGAGGATCTTCTGGCAGAACTGTTCCTCTCATATGCCCTCCTGTTCTCAAAGAGGAGTTAGATTGGTGCAAGAAACCATCAGTTGTCAACAGCAAAAATGGATGGTTTGCTCTTACACCTCTTGGTTCTGTGTCAAAGACAAAGTCCACTGTCGTGTCAACCACAACTGCTCTTGTAATCAGGGATCAAGCTACCGAAAGCAGTGATCCTGCTTCTCAAACGTACTTCTCAGATGCTGTTGCTATTCAGATGTATAGAATTACATTTCTTGTTTTGAAATTTCTTTGTTTACAAGCTGATGGGGCTGCTAAAAGGGCAGAGGAGGTGGGTTTTGTTGATCTTGCTCACTTTCCCGAGCTTCCGATGCCTGAGATTTTACATGGCTTGCAGGTATGATGGTAACATGTGTTCTTTCCCTAGCATTGCATGCAATCAAGGCGTGTCAACATAACAGTCGCCTGTGCTTAGTAGTGTAAAATCATGTCGTCTTCCAAATCTGAAATAATAAATGTAATACAAAAAGTTTCAGTGCCTTAACTTGATTTATTCTTCAAATGCAGGATCAAGCAGTTGCAATTGTTACTGAATTGTGTGAGGCAAACAAATTGAAGCAGATTCATCCCGAAATTCATCATGTCTGTCTTTTACTGCTTCAAATAATGGAAATGGCCTTGAACTTGGAACTTTGCGTTCTACAGATTTGTGGGATAAGGCCTGTCTTAGGACGTGTGGAGGACATCTCGAAGTCAGTCAAATTGTTGATACAAGGTAATAATCTTTTAAGTTACTAAGAATCAATTTATGTTCGATTCATATAAATAACAAAGTTATTTTGTTGGTTATTTGTAGCAACGGAAGGACATGCTTTTCTGAAAACATCAATGAAGTCGTTGAAACAGATAATATCAATTGTCTATCCTGGATTGCTGTGAACTCGTGAGAACATGGGTACGTTCCACATTCTATAAAGAGATTGGGAAAATTTTGTAGATATTATGATAACTTTAGAAAATGTAAAAAACGATAAAAAAAATATGTTGTTGAAGTTACACATGTTAATATAATTGAGGCATTTTCTTGTCATTTTCTTTTCTCTTGTGTCAAAGATATGCCAAAAGGAGTAGTGGTTTCAATCTATTTTGTGGTGACTGCATAATTGTCATCACTCGTCAAGTGAGATATGATTTGATTTCCTTTTTCAAAAGCAACCTGATATTTTTAGCGCATATTTGGGTGGGCCAAGCAAAGCTCCCTTTGTGACACAAATTTTGAGATGTTTTCTACGGTAGCACTACACGTCTCTGATTACACGTGGGTTTATGCATTTATCTTCAAACATAGTGAAATGACATCGTCGTTTTGTCCCCAAAAGAGAAATTCTTCGTTGTTAAATCTCAACACAAATAATCATTATCGGATGACTTGATGGGTTGGTGGGTGGCTACTGACATTTTCAATTAGTGATCCTCTTTGGGCAATTCTTGGAACTTCATAATCCATGTCCATCCACTTGATCCCATTTAATTGTTCTTCAGTTCACATAATCATGATTGTATTTTTCTGTTGGCAGCTGACAAGTCATAATGCTTTTACTCAATTGCTGGTGCAATACTCCCAGCACCGCTCAGGTGAAGTTGACATGCACTTTTTATTTTTTTAAAGTCCTTTACTTCCAATAGGATATATCTCTTAGGCATGTTTGTTGCTGCTGTGAAAATTGTAACTATTCTAGTCTTTACTAGACTATCTATGCCTGTAGCACTTGTGATATAATGCATCAGTTAACTTGTTTTTGCATAATCTGTACAAATTATAGAGGCGAGGAGGCAAACTTGAGAAGCAGAAGATATACAAAGACCTCGTCAACTCCTTTTACTTCCTTAAGATATCATTTGTATTCTATTTTCTGCAATAATATAGTCTACTACTAAAAGGAAATTTTCTATCATCCATATTTTCTTGTAGCCACAGTATAGACATATTGTCTGCAATTCTGTACAGTTTTGTCTTTCTGCTTCTGTATCTTTTTCCCTCTTCTATGCACAAGAGTTGCTATCGCCATGCATAATGCACAATCAATGTTATCACTGCAATTCCTGGCACTAAGGATTCATTGCCCTACACAGTGTTCATGTACTTGACTCGTGTTAGTCAATTCATTTGATTATGCTGCTTTGTTTTGTGTCCGATAAACAAGGCCACTAAATGTTTCTTTTATTTCTCCCTGTTCTTTTGCACACAAGATGACCACTGCTTTGGTATTGTCCCAAATTAATTTCAATTAAATCTTTTTTTTTTTTTTTTTTTTAATTTCTCAGTGAAGGAAAAGATTAAGACTTTGATACTCAGTGATCTTTACTGTCATCTGCAAGGAGAGCTTGAAGGTCGTAAAACAAGTCCAGGACGTTTAGAGAACTTTCCCAATATCTTTGATCTAAGTTCTGGCAATCTTTGACATAAGTATGATGGTGACCTACTTGCAACTGCCAAAGACCTGTATATGTTGATCTTGACTGCATAGAGTAGATTTGGGTTTGGACATATGGGATTATTCAGAGTGGAAATCCTCTAAAGTAATTGCTGGCACAATGTTGCATTGCATGCAAGACGCAAACTTGATGCTGTTCTTGCAACTTCAAAGCATTCTGCACTGAGAGCATTAGTAACTGTTTTGACTGTGTACGAAGATAACGTGAGTTCTCAAAAATTCTGAATGTTTTGATGCAATTTAACCTACACATTGGAGATGAGAACTATTTTGTCTGTGAACTTTTTATTGTATACTTCTTTTTATTCTGCAGCTGCACCTTTTGCATTCGTCTCATCATAAATGATTAATTTATGTTTGCCTACTGGTGCAGTCACTGGAGAAGGGGACTGAAATTGGTGGGAGGATCCCTGATCAACTAATTTCATGCATTGACCCATATGCCAAAGTTTCCGCTCCACCTTAGAACTGTACTTTGTGACTCTTCTATCCACAGTACACTATTTCGAATTATTTGTACAACTACAGAAGCCTTGGAGGTCAGTCATGTTGTGTATATTCAATTCGTATTTATTTTCTATTTGCAGCCATGAGTCAGTGCTGCTTTCTTACTAATACAAGTGCATTTCCTAACAGAAACTATATGTCATCCGCACCTTTGAACTGATGGAGATTGAAGGATTACAACTTGCTATAGTTTCTGTTTTGAACGTTCTGTATATCATGCTCTCGAAGTTCTCAAAGGTGAGCGTTAAAATTGATGAGATTTGCAATATGATATGCATGCTACATTGAAAAAAAAATCTGAGGTAATATGTGATCGTATTGGCAAACTGATTAACTGTTCTGCATGTCTTCCAAGTTCCTATATTGTTACCTTTTTCGGCAAGTTTGGTTCAGCTAAGAACCTTTTAATTTGCGGCAAAGTAAACTGCAGTAGGATCAGACAACCTTCATGTTTCTTTCATTCAATTATCTTCATTTCACATCACCTAATCCAGTTACATACTTATTGCATACCTAAAAAGTTAAATCTGTTCTTTTTTGCAGGAAATGCCTTCCAGCGTTCCCATCTTTCACCAAGCTTTGCTGTCATCCACAACCTCACCAGTTCCTGTTGTTGCAGCTGTTACATCCTTGATTTCATATTTTCGCAATCCTGTATGGACTTATTTCCACACTCAAAGTGGAAATTATGATGCTTGAACTTATTAATTATATCTCTTATATTGTTGATCAAATGTGGGCACTTCATTGCTGAGTATCTTCCAAATGATTTTTGAATTGTCTATGCAGGCTATTCAGGTTGGCGCTGCCAGAGTACTTTCCATGTTGTTGACTATATCAGATCTTTCCCAACTGAATTTTTCTGCCAATGCATGCTTTGGTTTAGATGACAAGCAGGTTTGCCATTGCTTAGCGTTGGTCAGCTTTCAATTTAAGTGAGTTAGTTGTTTTTGTTCTGTAATTTGAATGATTTCTTGGCTTTAGATTGCAGATTTAAGGCATTCTGTTGATTGCATGCTACAGTCAGTAGAAAATGAAGATCAATTTGTTGCTTCAGTAAATCTGCTTACTGCTGCAGCACGATATCAGGTTTGTTACTGTATATCTTGTTCTTATGGTTTTGAAAATTGTCTTTGTTAATGTAACTCATTAACTGCTTATATGCTCAAAGTTTATTTTCTCATTAAATTTATTTGGCTCTGGAATTGTTCCCTTATTGGTTGTTTTATTTTGTTTGTTCCTTTTTGTTGCAGCCTGCTTTACTTATTGCTTTATTTTGTACAAAAGAGAATACTGATGTCCAACCAAGTAATGGCAATGGCGTGAAGCATCCAGCAAATGAAGCGTCCTCAGGGCTGCTAGGGTCCAAAAAGTCAAGTCTGGTTGATGCACTTCTGCAATATGTTGAACGATCTGATGATCTTATCAATAGGTATGATCTGGAAGGACTTTTAGGCTGGTTATTTATGTCAGTCCTATTATTGACAGAAACTGTTAGATTTTGCAGCTTGTAGATTGGTGTGCTTTATATTATTACATATATCTATGACCTCAAGCAGTAATTTGTTTCAAATTCTCTTTATTCCAGTAATCCTTGCATATTGCTGAATGTTCTTAACTTCCTGAAGGCGTTATGGCAAGGGGCTGGTCAGTACACAAACATATTGGAGTGGTTGAAAGGTTGTGGAAAGTACTGGAAACAACTGGCCAACTCATTTTCTCCAATTGCTAAATTGCAATCTCTGAAACTTGAAAAAATGACAGAAAAGGAGGCTTTGAGTTTGGCGTATAAATATCGATGTCAATCTACTGTCTTGGAAATAATGGCACATGATTTGTTCCTGAAGAAAAAGCTGTTACATGTTGAGTCACTTTTAAAACATGCCACTGAAACAAACGGGGGATTAGAAAGTGCTGCAAGTGCTGAACTGTCTAAACCTGTGAATGATAGTGATCTTAAGGATATCTTGTCAAGTTGGTGTAAGAGCTCTGTTTTGGGTAGCTTGATCAAGTCATATACTTCTTGTGCATATGACAATGAGATACTTTTTCATGCAAAGGTGACTATCCAAGCAGTTTTCCTTTTTCAATGGAGCTAATGTACTTCAAGCAGTTACTTTCATTTAGTTTCAGAATGCTGTACTTGGCTGAATAAGAAATTTTCGATAAGAATTCTTTGTACCTTAATGTTATATTCTTGAACAATTTAGTGTACATCAGTTCATTCGCATGTTCCTTTGATGTGATGTTATACTTTTTCTATATGAAACTGTAATATATTTACAATTCATTGGCTCCTTTGCAGGTTGCTATGAGTTTACTCACTGTGCTTATGATAGAAAAATTGGCAACTGGTGATACTGGAAGTTTGTCTGTTTCGTTACTTGAGAAGGTCCGCATTATGTCTAAAAAGGTATGACACTGTCTCTAGTATGAGGAGGTCAAACATTTTCAAATTAAGTGATCCTCTTTGTGGCAATTTCTTGGAACTTCATAATTCCATGTCCATCCACTTTATCCTCATTTAATTGTTCTTCAGTTCACATAATACATGATTGTATTTTTCTGTTGGCAGCTGACAAGTCATAATGCTTTTACTCAATTGCTGGTGCAATACTCCCAGCACCGCTACAGGTGAAGTTGACATGCACTTTTTATTTTAATTTAAAGTCCTTTACTTCCAAATAGGATATATCTACTTAGGCATGTTTGTTGCTGCTGTGAAAATTGTAACTATTCATAGTCTTTACTAGACTATCTATGCCGTGTAGCACTTGTGATATAAATGCATCAGTTAACTTGTTTTATGCATAATCTGTACAAATTATAGAGGCGAGGAGGGCAAACTTGAGAAGCAGAAGATATAACAAAGACCTCGTCAACATCCCTTTTACTTCCTTGGATATCATTTGTATTCTATTTTCTGCAATAATATCATAGTACTACTAAAAGGAAATTTTCTATCATCCATATTTTCTTGTAGCCACAGAGTATAGACATATTTGTCTGCAATTCTGTACAGTTTTGTCTTTCTGCTTCTGTATCCTTTTTCCCTCTTCTATGCACAAGAGTTGCTATCGCCATGCATAATGCACAATCAATGTTATCACTGCAATTCCTGGCAATAAGTGATTAATTGCCCTACACAGTGTTCATGTACTTGACTCGTGTTAGTCAATTCAATTTGATTATGCTGCTTTGTTTTGTGTCCGATAAACAAGGCCACTAAATGTTTCTTTTATATTTCTCCCTGTTCTTTTGCACACAAGATGACCACTGCTTTGGTATTGTCTGCCAAATTAATTTCAATTAAATCTTTTTTTTTTTTTTTTTTTTTTAATTTCTCAGTGAAGGAAAAGAATTAAAGACTTTGATACTCAGTGATCTTTACTGTCATCTGCAAGGAGAGCTTGAAGGTCGTAAAACAAGTCCAGGACCGTTTAGAGAACTTTCCCAATATCTAATTGAATCTAAGTTCTGGCAATCTTATGAACATAAGTATGATGGTGACCTACTTGCAACTGCCAAAGACCTGTATATGTTTGATCTTGACTGCATAAGAGTAGATTTGGGTTTGGACATATGGGATTATTCAGAGTGGAAATCCTCTAAAGTAATTGCTGGCACAATGTTGCATTGCATGCAAGACGCAAACTTGATGCTGTTGCTTGCAACTTCAAAGCATTCTGCACTGAGAGCATTAGTAACTGTTTTGACTGTGTACGAAGATAACGTGAGTTCTCAAAAATTCTGAATGTTTCTGATGCAATTTAAGCCTACAACATTGGAGATGAGAACTATTTTGTCTGTGAACTTTTTATTGTATACTTCTTTTTATTCTGCAGCTGCCACCTTTTGCATTCGTCTCATCATAAATGATTAATTTATGTTTGCCTACTGGTGCAGTCACTGGAGAAGGGGACTGAAATTGGTGGGAGGATCCCTGATCAACTAATTTCATGCATTGAGCCCATATGCCAAAGTTTCCGCTCCACCTTAGAACTGTTAGCTCCAACTTTGGATGCCCCTGGAGATATCCTTGATTTCCTTGCAGCACAAGCAGAATTACTTCTTCATCTCGTGAGATCTGTAGGGAAAAGCCTTCCTTCATCTGTTTGTGTTCTTGTTTTGAAAGCCTGCAGTTCTGGCCTTAAAGTGCTGTGTGACTTGAGGAAATCAGTTACTGGGGTAAAAATAACGATGAAGCATTTGCTCATGGTTCTTCTTTCGTCGCTGGAAGTTACTTACCATAATTCATGTTTAGATGCAGTGAAAGATACGGAATCTGTTGAAGATGTTGCTGAGGTTTCCAATGTGACCTTGGGTTTATTACCTATTCTCTGTCATTGCATCACTAGTGCTGAGCACTGTACCCTCTCCCTGACCAATGTGGACTTAATAATTAGAAGTTTTCTAGCCCCTAGCACTTGGTTCCCCATCATACAGCAACATCTACAGTTGCAGCTTGTTATTCAGATGCTTCAGGTCAAGTCATCGTTTGCCTGCATTCCTGTAACATTGAAATTCTTTCTAACATTGGCACAGATTAGAGGAGGTGCTGAGATGCTTCTTAATGCTGGATTTTTCTCATCTCTAAGAGTTTTGTTTGCTGATCTATTGGATAGGCCTGCCTCAGTGGTTAAGCATGATAAGAGTTATCTAGATGTAACAGACAAAGCTGAAAAACTGCAATGGATTTGGGGACTTGGCTTGGCTGTGGTTGCAGCTGTGGTTCATTCTTTAGGAGAGAGTCTTTCCGTAGACATATTGGACAGTGTGATACCTTACTTCTTTCAAGAGAGAGCTTATCTGATTTCTTACTATCTGAATGCACCAGAGTTTCCATCATTTCATGACAAGAAAAGACCTCGTGCACAAAGGACACAAACTTCTCTGACTTCTCTTAAAGAAACAGAGAATACTCTCATGCTGATGTGTGTGCTTGCAAAACAGTGGAGTTCATGGGTTAAGGCCATGAAAGAAATGGATTCACAACTGAGGGAGACAAGTATCCATCTTTTAGCCTTTATTAGCCGAGGAACTCATCGCCTTGGAGGATCTTCTGGCAGAACTGTTCCTCTCATATGCCCTCCTGTTCTCAAAGAGGAGTTAGATTGGTGCAAGAAACCATCAGTTGTCAACAGCAAAAATGGATGGTTTGCTCTTACACCTCTTGGTTCTGTGTCAAAGACAAAGTCCACTGTCGTGTCAACCACAACTGCTCTTGTAATCAGGGATCAAGCTACCGAAAGCAGTGATCCTGCTTCTCAAACGTACTTCTCAGATGCTGTTGCTATTCAGATGTATAGAATTACATTTCTTGTTTTGAAATTTCTTTGTTTACAAGCTGATGGGGCTGCTAAAAGGGCAGAGGAGGTGGGTTTTGTTGATCTTGCTCACTTTCCCGAGCTTCCGATGCCTGAGATTTTACATGGCTTGCAGGTATGATGGTAACATGTGTTCTTTCCCTAGCATTGCATGCAATCAAGGCGTGTCAACATAACAGTCGCCTGTGCTTAGTAGTGTAAAATCATGTCGTCTTCCAAATCTGAAATAATAAATGTAATACAAAAAGTTTCAGTGCCTTAACTTGATTTATTCTTCAAATGCAGGATCAAGCAGTTGCAATTGTTACTGAATTGTGTGAGGCAAACAAATTGAAGCAGATTCATCCCGAAATTCATCATGTCTGTCTTTTACTGCTTCAAATAATGGAAATGGCCTTGAACTTGGAACTTTGCGTTCTACAGATTTGTGGGATAAGGCCTGTCTTAGGACGTGTGGAGGACATCTCGAAGTCAGTCAAATTGTTGATACAAGGTAATAATCTTTTAAGTTACTAAGAATCAATTTATGTTCGATTCATATAAATAACAAAGTTATTTTGTTGGTTATTTGTAGCAACGGAAGGACATGCTTTTCTGAAAACATCAATGAAGTCGTTGAAACAGATAATATCAATTGTCTATCCTGGATTGCTGTGAACTCGTGAGAACATGGGTACGTTCCACATTCTATAAAGAGATTGGGAAAATTTTGTAGATATTATGATGACTTTAGAAAATGTAAAAAACGATAAAAAAAATATGTTGTTGAAGTTACACATGTTAATATAATTGAGGCATTTTCTTGTCATTTTCTTTTCTCTTGTGTCAATGATATGCCAAAAGGAGTAGTGGTTTCAATCAATTTTGTGGTGAGTGCATAATTGTCATCACCCGTCAAGTGAGATATGATTTGATTTCCTTTTTCAAAAGCAACCTGATATTTTTAGCGCATATTTGGGTGGGCCAAGCAAAGCTCCCTTTGTGACACAAATTTTGAGATGTTTTCTACGGTAGCACTACACGTCTCTGATTACACGTGGGTTTATGCATTTATCTTCAAACATAGTGAAATGACATCGTCGTTTTGTCCCCAAAAGAGAAATTCTTCGTTATTAAATCTCAACACAAATAATCATTGTCGGATGACTTGATGGGTTGGTGGGTGGCTACTGAGACTCTTATTGTATAGATAGTCTTAGAGTTTCATAGGTTAATTAAAATGCACTTAAATTGGTCGGATAGTCTTAATGATAAAAAAGAAAAAAAAAATCTCAACATAAATTAATACGAGTCTACTTGTCTATTAGTTATTAGGATTTTTATTCTATCGATAGTTTTAAGATTTTGAGAATTAGTTAAAGTGTATAAACTGATTTGGATATTTGATAAAAAAGAAAAAAATATCTCAACACAAATTAATAAAAGTCTATTTGTCTATTTGTTATTGGGATTTTTATTCGATCGATAGTTTTGGACTTCAAGAATTAGTTGAGATTTGTGTCTTCAAGAATTAGTTGAGATTTGTGTAAGTTGACATAGACTCTAATGGTAATAAAGAAAAAAAAAATCTCAACACAAATTAACACGCATGCCTTGTTTATTTGTCAGTGGGAATGGCCATTAATCTCAATTTAGTTTAATTTCAATTATGGTTATTAGTATCCTACAATACGTAATACGTATCTTATGATATAATTTGTTATGGGTTGCTAACGACACGTATTAGAGAGTGTATCCTAAACTTTTCGATATATTGATATGTATCATATGATACGATATCTATCCATTCGTATCCTTAAAATATCGATACAAATCAATACGATTTTATTAATTTGAGCTACAAGTCCAAAAAAATTTTGAGTCGGATCCGGGTCACCCAATTCGGTTCACTAAAACTTTACATATTTTACACGGAGAAAGTGAAAAGGAACATATGTTGTCTATTTTGTATGATAATAATAATACAAGTGGAAAGATAAATATTGATATTGATTTTGGAAATGATATGAATGGTTGAAAAGATATGATATAAATTTTTAATTTTGTGATTAATGTTGATTATATAATATCATAATTTAAAACCAATAATACCACGAAATTCTTTAATTAATCTTTGGAATGACATTAATCTTCAAAATATTTTTATTATTTTATTATTATTTTATTTTAAAAGTATATTTTACGATATGATATAATACCCAATACACGATTCTAAAATTAAGTTTTTAATACACAATATAATACCCATTTGAGAACCATGATTCTAATATCATATTAGAAAGGGTAAACATACTATATTTTGTTTCTGCCCATTCAATGATGAGTATTACTTTTTGATGAAAACACGCATGAAGGAAGAACAATGCCTTAGCATCTGATACCTCTCTATATGAAATATTATATTAAAAAAAAAATGATTTAAATATGTTATCAGATCTCATCAATTTAACCAAAAAAAAAAGAAACTAAAGTTAAGTAAATGCTATCGTGGAACAATATTATAAGCTAACGCAGTTTGTGTTCGTCTAAAGTTGCAGTGTTGACTATAATTTTTTAAATTCGTTGGAATCTTAAAGGTATCAAAATACGTATTATTTGAGTATTGATCATTGTATTATACTTATCATATACTGAAACTCAGAAACTCGCCTAGTGAAATAAAAATACCAGTGAGTCAGTGACCATTAAAGCCCATTTTATTTAATATAATTTACCATTTAAAAAAAAGATTTATAAAATTTGAAATCAATAAATATTATAACGTACGTGTAATAAGATAACGACAAAACCAAATACACTATCCTCCTGACCCCAGCCTCGGATCCCTCACTTAACCCTGGTCAAACCTTAACCTACCACGGTTACTTCAACCTGGTCTAATCTTCCTCCACGTGTCTTTCCTTGACGGCCCAGATTTTCTCTTTCTCATCCTCCCCCTCCTATATAAGGCCCCTCTCAACCCTAACAGATCTCCACATCGAAACAACACTGCACAAATCTAATCAATTTTTTCTGTGTCTCTTTGTTGGTTTGTAACATGGCTAACCCTAAGGTGTTTTTTGACATGACCATCGGCGGTCAGCCGGCCGGAAGGATCGTGATGGAGCTCTTCCAGGACACCACTCCTCGCACCGCCGAGAACTTCCGAGCTCTCTGCACTGGCGAGAAAGGCGTCGGTCGCTCCGGCAAGCCACTCCACTACAAAGGATCAAGCTTCCATCGCGTGATCCCCGGCTTCATGTGCCAGGGAGGCGACTTCACTGCCGGAAACGGCACAGGAGGTGAATCAATCTACGGCGCCAAGTTCGCCGACGAGAACTTCGTCAAGAAGCACACAGGACCCGGTATCCTCTCCATGGCCAATGCCGGACCCGGAACCAACGGGTCTCAGTTCTTTGTCTGTACCGCTAAGACCGAGTGGCTCGACGGAAAGCACGTGGTGTTTGGTCAGGTGGTTGAGGGTCTGGACGTCGTGAAGGCCATTGAGAAAGTGGGGTCCAGCTCCGGCAGGACTTCGAAGCCCGTTGTGGTTGCTGACTGCGGTCAATTGTCTTAGATTTAAAAAAAATGTTATAAATCGTAGATTTCGATAATGATAATGATCATGATCATGTTATAGTCGATCATGACGGACTGAGTATGTTTAAAATATGATGTGGGTGTCTCTAGTTTCTCTGTGTTTTTGTGGGTTGTGTTTATGTTTGAGTCCGGAGTTGACTCTTTGGTAGTTCCACTGAGTGAACTCTGTGTCTTTGTCCTTTAATTGAGGTGCTTTTTTAAGGCCGTAATCATGATTATCATTATGATCATCTTAATTATCTCCTAATTTTAATCCTCTTTTTCTCGCCCTTCATTTCTGGGTTTGTTTTTTACTGTGAAATGGATAATAGATCTAGAAAGGGAAAATTACATTTTCCCCCCCTAGGTTTGGCCAAATTTTTTCACCTTGGGATTTTTAGTGGTTTTTTTTAAGTATTTGATGAAAAGACGAAAATATCCTTAACTATTAAATATGAATTAGATCAAGTTGTTTATACATGTTTGTGACGTCATTAAAGTCTAATTAATATTTTTCATTTATTAAATAAATAATCAAATAAAAATTTTAATATATAATAAATTATTAAGAAATATACTATTTAAAGATATTTTGTTTTTTCGTCAAATATTCACATAAGGGTGGAAAAGTATATTTTGAAACTTACCAAACTTGGAGGGACAAAGACCGTTCTCCCATCTAGAAAATATCACTTGACTTGGTTGCCGCATGGGATGGGTAAAGTAATCACGGAAAGAGACAAGGGAGAAGAGATAAATATGAGTTGGTTTGTGACGGAGACCTTTGTGGGCCTGGGGTTAGGCCCATTTGCATTGGAATATTTCAGAATGTGCCATTTTGAGAAGTCTCATTCTCTAAGATGTGGCTTATTAGCAGCAATGACTGAGATTGGATATTATATGGTATTATATTAGTTTGGAGTTCGTTTTCGTTTTTATTATATTTGTTTAATCCAATTGTGGGGTAATCCATTTTCTCAACAAATCTCAGCTTCCAACACTAAAAGTATTATGAAAAAAATAAATAAGTAAAGAGTGTTATTCTTATTGGGCCTATATTGGCTCAAATAATTGGATTTTTTTTCTTATTTTTTTTACCAGGTGTTCAGGTCAGTTTGCACGTACCTCAACTAATTATCCAGAGCTATGAAGTTAACGAAATGGTAAACCTGGAGGTGGTCATCCGTATTAACAATTGGTGTTAGTAACTTATACAATGTACTAAAATAAGGTGTTTCTCATAAATTAAGAGAGTTTCTTTCTAAGAAATCTTTGAATGCTTTATATTTAACTTAGAAAAAGGAATTAGGGTTTGATTACTATCTTGAGTTGTTGCTTATATTGCAAACCCCTGTTTGCATAGAAAATGACATTGATAAACCTTTAATACCTAACATTTATATGGGATAGAAATAAATTTGTTCTTAAGCTTTATATTAAATTGAAATCATTAGACGGTTGGGATCATTGGATCAATACAACCTTAAGTTTGGACTCATGAATTTATTGGGCATGTATAGATTCTATAGAGCCCAATGCCAACGCCATCGTATAATATGTAGACATCATCGAATCCTTATGTCCTCGATGAAAATCCAGTCAGAATGGTCACCTAATAAGTTAATCTTTAAGAGGTCGTTTGGATAAGGGATATATAAGATAATGAGGATAATCTTCGTTTATTTTACAAGATTTATGTGTTTGGTTTGCAAGTAATAAAATATTACGATAATCTTTTATTGCAGATAGTGTTTACTATTGGTAATGTGAAGGATAATCTTATTACTTTGTTAGGGGGTGTTATTAAAACATTACCAGGGTAATTTGATTTTTCTACCCATTTTTCCCTTAATTAAAAACTATTTCAAACACAATTGCTCTTAAATGTCTACCAAATAACAATTATCCAGCCTCGCTACATTTGAGAAATTAGCTAAAACATCCTAGTCACAAAAAGTTTAAAAGTTAACAAAATACCTTCAGCAACCCAAGATCATCGTCGACTGTCAGCATAAGTAGCTATAATGGTGCACGACCGACTGGATTTGGCCAGTCGTGTGCTAGTAAGGCCTTTTTCGACCATGGATCACGAATCCATGGCCGAAAATGGCCAAAGTTGGTGTTTTCAATGGCCATGAAACGACCATAAATCTGGCCATGAAAATGCCAGTCTTTGGTTGTGAAATGGCACAGCCTTTTCACGGCCTGATCTATGGCTGTGAAATGCCATAGATTTGGCCTTTTTTGGGCCATGGATTTGTGATCCACGACCATTTTCGGCTTTTTTGATGTATAGTTAGCCATATACGGCCAGTCGTGCTCCATTCCATCGACTGCCGGCTGCGACTGGCGATGGTGACTGGCTGCAATAGTGGGTTGCGGTGGGTGGGGGTGATTTTGCTATAAATTAAGGTTTTATATGGTTGGGGTGTTTTAGCAAAATTTTAAATGTAGGAGGTTCAAAGAACTGGTTCAAAAAATAATAATAAAAATTACTATTATATTAATATTTAAAAAGGAGGGCAAATTAGTAATCTATATAATATACTCACCCATTTATCCTCTCAACCAAAAATATTATTCACCAATTTATTTGAACCAACCAAATACATTTCTAAACATTCATAGTAATCTTCAAAGTGATTTTTCTTTCCGTTAATGTAACATACTCTTATAATAAAATATTATATGATCTAAACACCCCGTAAGTAATTAGAAAACTCCAATTGCTCACACTTGAACTAAAAACAACTCCATGATTTAGATTCTCTATTGCTTAGAGTAAGCTTTTGTAACCTTTTATCACTATTTCTATCATCTTATAATCTATTATAGTTTATACTTGAACTAAAACTATAAGTAAACTAATCGCACTACCCCCACCTCATAGCCAAAAAAAAAAAAAATTAGAGTGTTGGTGTAAAGGAGAGTTTTGATCACTCAACTAATATTTTATAGTAGGGAAATTTCATTAACCATGGCACTAGCATCAATGGGTACCCAAATTGTATAGGAGGGAACCTTCCTTCAATTTCAGTTTCTCAAAGAAGTTTTCATTTTATCTTGCTTGCCTTATAATAGAATATGCAATGGAACCAAACAAAAAAGTAACATGTAATCAACCAACTTCATGCCCAATACACAAAACCAGCNAATGTTATATTAATTATATGATCATACTATAATAGTATAATGTAATGTTATAATGAATTAAGTAATCATACTATAAATCTATAATTTAATATTATAATTAATTAAATTTCAAATCATTTGATTAATATAATAATGTTTATAATGGAATGTTATAATTGATTAAGTAATATGAAGACATCATCGAATCCTCATGTCCTCGGTGAAAATCCAGTCAGAATGGTCACCTAATAAGTTAATCTTTAAGAGGTCGTTTGGATTAGGGATATATAAGATAACGAGGATAATCTTCGTTTATTTTACAAGATTTATGTGTTTAGTTTGCAAGTAATAAAATATTACGATAATCTTTTATTGCAAATAGTGTTTACTATTGGTAATGTGGAAGATAATCTTATTACTTTGTTAGGGGGTGTTATTAAAACATTACCAGGGTAATTTGATTTTTCTACCCATTTTGCCCTTAATTAAAAACTATTTCAAACACAATTGCTCTCAAATGTCTACCAAATAACAATTATCCAGCCTCGCTACATTTGAGAAATTAGCTAAAATATCCTAGTCATAAAAAAGTTTAAAAGTTAACAAAATACCTTCGGCAACCCAAGATCACCGCCGACTGTCAGCATAAGTAGCTACAATGGTGCACGACCGACTGGATTTGGCCAGTCGTGTGTCAGTAAGGCCTTTTTTGACCATGGATCACGAATCCATGGCCGAAAATGGCCAAAGTTGGTGTTTTCAATGGCCATGAAACGGCCACAAATCTAGCCATGAAAAGGCCAGTCTTTGGTTGTGAAATGGCACAGCATTTTCACGGCCTGATCTATGGCTATGAAATGCCATAGATTTGGCCTTTTTTCAGCCATGGATTTGTGATCCATGACCATTTTCGACTTTTTCGATGTATAACTGGCCATATACGGCCAGTCGTGCTCCATTCCATCGACTGCCGGCCGCGACCGGTGATGGTAACTGGCTGCAATAGTGGCCTGCGGTGGGTGGGGTTGATTTTGCTATAAATTAAGGTTTTATATGGTTGAGGTGTTTTAGCAAAATTTCAAAGGTAGGAGGTTCAAAGAACTGGTTCAAAAAATAATAATAAAAAGTACTATTTTATTAATATTTAAAAAGGAGGGCAAATTAGTAATCTAGATAATATACCCACCCATTTATTCTCTCAACCAAAAATATTATTCACCAATTTATTTGAACCAACCAAATACATTTCTAAACATTCACAGTAATCTTTAAAGTGATTTTTCTTTCCGTTAATGTAATATACTCTTATAATAAAATATTATATGATCTAAACACCCCGTAAGTAATTAGAAAACTCCAATTGTTCACACTTGAACTAAAAACAACTCCATGATTTAGATTCCCTATTGCTTAGAGTAAGCTTTTGTAACCTTTTATCACTATTTCTATCATCTTATAATCTATTATAGTTTATACTTGAACTAAAACTATAAGTAAACTAATCGCACTACCTTCATCTCATAGCCAAAAAAAAAATTAGAGCGTTGGTGTAAAGGAGAGTTTTGATCACTCAACTAATATTTTATAGTAGGGAAATTTCATTAACCATTGCACTAGCATCAATGGGTACCCAAATTGTATAGGAGGGAACCTTCCTTCAATTTCAGTTTCTCAAAGAAGTTTTCATTTTATCTTGCTTGCCTTATAATAGAATATGCAATGGAACCAAACAGAAAAGTAACATGTAATCAACCAACTTCATGCCCAATACACAAAACCAGCCATAAATAGTCTTGGTAGTTTTCACAAAATTGATTAAAAAAATTTAGACAGTCCAATTGATGAATTGCTTTCATTAATCTTGCTCCTTTTGGCCCTCATTCTTGCTTTCATTAATCTTGCTTCACAATACATTGTTTGAGCTGTCTTACAAACAAACACTATTCACTTATCACCACATTGAGCATTGCTTTGTTTGTCAACTGTAATTGTTTTTCTTTGCCATCTTTATTGATCCAAACAAATCCATTACCCAAATCACTTTCATCGACATAATGAACAAGAAAAAAAGTTTAACCTCAATTTTACTCAATCTATAATCCAACCTTACCGTCCTCTTTCAACGTCATGAGCATT